TATATATATATATATATATATATATATATATATATATATATATATATATATATATATATATATATAGAGAGAGAGAGAGAGAGAGAGAGAGAGAGAGAGAGAAACACCTCCAAAACACATGAAGTTCACTTCAGGGTGCCTATATGCGGATCGTCAGATCATGTGGCGGATTTTCGATTTTCGGTGGCGGAGCTTTTTCTTTCTAAGCATTAGTATGCTTTTTGCCAACGTCACATCTATAAGAAAAATGCGTCAGTGAAGCATCGATGAACCCTAGCATAAAACCCTTTTGTGTTAAAAAAACACTGAAACGGTTTTGACGATTTGTTACAAACACATTGGGCCGGTGGACCAAGTTTAATGGTCATTTGCAGACTTGTTTAAGCTATTTGAGTAAACTGTGTCATTCATTACAACGCTTTAAAGCTGCGAATCTCTACAGGTCACTGCGGCTCAGCCAAACGCATTTTCTTCCACACATTGACAGTATGACATCCTCTGGCATCACATTGTCACCCAGGCTCCTGATATGATTGTCAGTGGAATGCGCGGAACAATGATCGGCTAATAGGATGGCGGCACCTGTTGGAGATGTAAACAACTACGCAATCTTCGTCTCTGTTGCCAGAAGGTGTGCGTGCGGCCAGGCACACTTATGTTCTCTAAGACGGCGCGCCACCTGTCGGCGTGCAACTTGGAGGCCCTGACTGGGCGAAGCTCAAACCGTCGAGTGTGCTCATGAGAGCCGGTCCCCAGGGATGCCAGCTTGTCTGATAAGTTTGAAAGGCAACGCAGCGATGAGAGGTAGGGTATAGCTATAAATGTACGTAGCGGCCTTTGTATGTAGCTCTAATTGTACGTAGCCTATTAAATAACTTTTAATACAGGACACGTGCCCGGATGCAGTCAACATCCTATAGCCGTTTGTCGTACTTATGCCCTATTTCGGTTAGACGGAATATGTATTGCAGACGAAAGGCAGCAAGGCTTCCTTGCTCTTTTCTTCTCAACGTAGCAGTTCACTTGAGGGAGAGAGAGAGAGAGAACGAATCAGCATATTTAGTAACAAGGTAGCTAAGAAGAGACGCCCTTAGTTCAGTCAGCCTTGAGCTAGAGAAGCGTATACCAGACCCTCGCGGCACGACTCGACTGATCGTCAAGTTTGCAGCTGAACCAAGGCTCCCTCGCAAAACACGTGTGTGGAGTGTTGAGTGACTTAAGTTGCGATTATAGACAACCTCCTACCATGTGGTAGAGAGATTCGCGGCTTCTCTACGGAAGTGGTACACATGAGAGCAAGTGAGAGTTTTAGCATCATCATCATCATCATCATCATCATCATCATCATCATCATCATCATCATCATCATCATCATCATCAGCCTGATTACGTCCACTGCAGGACAAAGGCCACTCCCATGTTCCGCCAGTTAACCCGGTCCTGTGCTTTCTGCTGCCAATTTATACTCTCAAACTTCTTAATCTCATCTGCCCACCTAACCTTCTGTCTCCCCCTAACCTGCTTGCCTTCTCTGGGAATCCAGTTAGTTACCCTTATAAACCAGCGGTTATCCTGTCTACGCGCTACATGCCCGGCCCATGTCCATTTCTTCTTCTTAATTTCAGCTATGATATCCTTAACCCCCGTTTGTTCCCCAATCCACTCTGCTCTCTTCTTGTCTCTTAAGGTAACACCTACCATTTTTCTTTCCATTGCTCGCTGCGTCGTCTTCTATTTAAGCTGAACCCTCTTTGTAAGTCTCCAGGTTTCTGCTCCGTAGCTAAGTACCGGCAAGATACAGCTGTTATATACCTTCCTCTTAAGGGATAGTGGCAATCTACCTGTCATAATTTCTCTTCTTTTTGGTGATGGTTTCTTTGTCTTTGCAGATGTAAACAATTTGTATATTTTTCGCTCTTATACTTTGTGATCACTGTCATTTCACTACATTCCTGTTTCTGTTTTCTGCACTGTTAATGTACCACCTGCATGTACAATCTGTACGCCCACCTGCTATGGTTTCGGAATGAGACTGGCAGTATTGAAAATAAAGAAATAAATAATTTGAGAGTGCTTGCCAAATGTGCTCCACCCCATTCTTATTCTTCTAGTTACTTCAATCTCGTGGTTCGGCTCCGTGGTTATTACCTGCCCTAAGTAGACATAGTCCTTTACAACTTGAAGTGCACTATTACTTATCTCGAAGCGCTGCTCTTTTCCGAGGTTGTTATACAATACTTTCGTTTTCTGCAGATTCATTTTAAGACCCACCTTTCTGCTCTCCTTGTCTAACTCCGTAATCATGAGTTGCAATTCGTCCCCTGAGTTACTCAGCAATGCAATGTCATCGGCGACGCGCAGGTTACTACGGTACTCTCCATTAACACTTATCCCTAACTGTTCCCATTCTAGGCTTCTGAAAACCTCCTGTAAGCACGTGGTAAATAGGATTGGGGAGATTGTGTCCCCCTGCCTTACACCCTTCTTGATTGGTATTCTGTTGCTTTCTTTACGAAGCACTAAGGTAGCAGTTGATCCCCTGTAGATTTCTTCCAGGATGTTTATATATACTTCATCGACGCCCTGATTCCGCAGTGTCTGCAAGATGGCTGATATTTCTACTGAATCAAACGCCTTCTCGTAATCTATGAAGGATATGTATAGTGGTTGGTTATATTCTGAAAATTTCTCTATTACCTGATTGATAGTATGAATGTGGTCGATTGTTGAGTAGCCTGTTCGAAATCTTGCTTGTTCCTTTGGTTGATTGAATTCTAATGTTTTCTTTACTCTGTTAGCAATTACCTTTGTAAATAGCTTGTATACTACGGAGAGCAAGCTAATCGGCCTGTAATTCTTCAAGTCCTTGTCATCTCCTTTCTTATGTATTAAGATGATGTTAGCGTTCTTCCAAGACTCTGGTTTTAGCATCAAGTGCGACTAAATGACTCGCTAACGCAAAATGGCACTGAATGGGCGATGCATAGTCAAACAGTCGGCGCGTGATTTCAGGCGTTGACCTGACCACTCCAGAGCGGGATTTCATGTGCTACAAAAGCGAATGCTAAATTAACTTTTCTGCTATACCAGCTGTTTTGAACAGTGTAACGGCTATGAAGACTGAAGGGCAAGCTTCAAACGGAATCAGCGTCTTGGCATGACAAAACGTTGCAAGTATTAAGCGAACTCAATCGGTGCAGGCAGTTCCAATCGATGAACACTGCCGGTGGACGAGCAATAGCACTGCCGAGTATATTGCGACAGATAATAACTCTTGACTAGTAGAAATTTTGTTTGATTTATACTATCAACGCAGGGTTTGTTTTTCCGGATGGGCGTGACGTGCTGTAGGTGTCTGTGCGAAGATTACTGCAGATGTTCCGGCCGCCTGTGACTGACCAAAAAGTCGACAATCAAGTGTGTGGAAGCGTACATCATGTCCCCCAAAACCCTGCTACATTTTCGCGGCATGTGAGAGAGTATATGCATAATCTAGAGAAAAAAGTGATGGAAAATTATTATTGATAGAAAGGTTAATGAAAGAAAACGTTGTCTATTATTTCACCTGGGGAGAGGAAAACCAAAGTGTTTACTGTTGGTTTTCGGTTCAAGTGGAAAGTCGGCAACCCGAAACAACGCCAAAGTCACGCAATGCCAGCGCTCCTCGGGCAGAGATGGTGGGAGTGACAACTGCCTGAGCGGCTCATCAGCGGTGCGAATCCCCAGCAGCAAACTGGGACCGAGATTGCACAACATGTGTGTGTGTGTGCGTGTGCGTGTGCGTGTGTGCGTGCGTGCGTGTGTGCGTGTGTGTGTGTGTGTGTGTGTGTGTGTGTGTGTGTGTGTGTGTGTGTGTGTGTGTGGTGTGTGTGTGTGTGTGTGTGTGTGTGTGTGTGTGTGTGTGTGTGTGTGTGTGTGTGTGTGTGTGTGTGTGTGTGTGTGTGTGTGTGTGTGTGTGTGTGTGTGTGTGTGTGTGTGTGTGTGTGTGTGTGTGTGTGTGTGTGTGTGTGTGTGTGTGTGTGTGTGTGTGTGTGTGTGTGTGTGTGTGTGTGTGTGTGTGTGTGTGTGTGTGTGTGTGTGTGTGTGTGTGTGTGTGTGTGTGTGTGTGTGTGTGTGTGTGTGTGTGTGTGTGTGTGTGTGTGTGTGTGTGTGTGTGTGTGTGTGTGTGTGTGTGTGTGTGTGTGTGTGTGTGTGTGTGTGTGTGTGGTGTGTGTGTGTGTGTGTGTGTGTGTGTGTGTGTGTGTGTGTGTGTGTGTGTGGCACGAGCAGCTGGTGATACTCTTGTTTCTCGTCCAAGCACATTCGCTCGAGCACTTTCAGTTTTTCAATATATTCAGAAAAAGATACCCCCAAACGGCCGACCCCATCCGCAGCACCCACCATTATTGCTCAAGGTTCAGCATTCATACTTGTGCGATTGTCAATTAAAAAAGCATTTATTGCGCATATCTGAGGCACCATAACAGCACGTCAATACTTTGTATGCGTATCTTTTACTAGACAAGGCATACGTAAGCAATTCTAAGGATCGTAGCGTTTATCACGCTGCGCTTACAATGCAACGCTTGTACGTAAAGGCAAGTGTTTCCAACGCTTTGCTAAAACGACACGGTAGTGGCACTTAAGCGTCGCTTTGCGTTCCACACCGTATCACCTCCAAGACGTTTTCGTTTTCCAAGATAACTGCCAGATAGCGCTCATGTCTCACGGGTGACATGACTCGATGCGCTCGTTCGCCTCCGCTGCACGCTCGAGGCACTCTAATGCAGCGCCTCCAGAATATTATTCACCAATTTTCTTGCGCAGAAAATCAAATAAACGCTTTGTTCACTCTCTCCAGACGCAAGGCTATCACCGACGACATTTGCAGTGTAACATGCAGGTACGGGGCCAATTTTTTTCTCGAGTTGTACCCGAGTATAACCGGGTTCCACTGAAATTATCCGAAAACAAGGTCTTAGTCGTTCAAGTCTCTTAAATGGCTTAGCAGGTTTACTCACCATCGAGCCTCTGCTTGCGTTCGCGGGCCTCCTCGTCTGCAGTGGCCCTGGCGGCGGCGTCTTGCGTCCTCGACTCGGACGCCTTCTCGAGCGTGGCGCAGGCGCGCAACACGTACGCGTTCACCTGCTCCTGCTTCTCCTGGCGGGGAAGATCCAGCAGTACCCAGTACTGCGTGTCCAGGCAGGTTACATCCTTCACCATCGCCTGGGAAACATGTGAGCCGATATTTGCTATCCCGTGGGAATACTATCGAGAGGCACTCATTTCGATGAATATGCAGTTCACCTGCTGAACAAAAGGAGTTATGGAGCCCCGCCGCTGTTGTCTAGAGACTAAGATACTCGGCTGCTGATCCACAGGTCGCAGGATCAAATTCCGGCTGCGGCGGCTGCATTTTCGACGGAGGCGGAAATGGTGTAGGCCCGTGTGCTCAGATTTGGGTGCACGTTAAAGAACCCCAGGTGGTTGAAATTTCCGCCGCCCTCCACTACGGCGTCTTTCATAATCATATGGTGGTTTTAGAACGTTAAATTCCTCATATCAATAAATGAATAATTGATATTTTGACAATTATAATGATACCATAATAACGCCGCAATAAAATGTGAAGGAAGTAAATATATATATATGAACAAAACAGAGCATTTTTCACGTTTAGTAACTTCTTCTCAAGGCCGCATTATACAGAAGCACCTCAGTTCCAAAAATGATTGCGAATGAATCGAACCTGTGTGACGCACGTGGTATGTATAGCGCGTCCATTGGCCTGTTTTTTCGCTTTTGACCACCTGCCATTTTCGCGCGATGGCACACAAATGTTTAACGCTGTTTCAAACTCCCCGATTAGTTTCCTCTTGCGAACAGCTGTTTATAGATGTTGAAACGCAGAACGGCAGTTTTGTATGCTGTGATGAGAACATATGTATATACTCACAAGCTATTTTTTTATTATGTTACCTTATTCAAGCAAGTGTACGGTTTTTTATGTGACCTCTCGAATAAAAGAATACGCAAATTTCCGGACAGTGTACGAGTGCTACTCTTGAAGAATTAGTTTCCGTTTACTTTGCCCGCCCAAGAAGAAAGTGCGATATCCACAGACCATACGCAGCACGTGTAGTTGGGCAAAATAGTTCTGGTGAATTCCTTTTGCATTGAAGTTGGCGGCTATGCTCTCTGCGATGCATATCGTTGCCAGGAGCCGCTAAGTGACATTTTGCGTGACTGTACTGTCGATATTCTTTAGAGACAGTTAGTGGCGTCCTTTCCAGCGCTCCTTGACAGTAGACAAATGTCTGTTCAATCTGTTCTCGCATGTTGTCAACAGAAGAGATGGCGGCTGAAGGCAACCAAGGAACTACAGAGGTTTTTGGGAAAAAACAAACTTGGGCAAGTGGCTCTGACAGTGATATCGCGTGCTCGGCTACTGATCACCAACGTGATGGACACCAACGTGATGGACATGTGACTGACTGCTTGTTTGTGGGTGTGCTGTTCTATGTATCATCTTTCTCTCTTGCCCCTCTCTTTTCAGTCTTTCCCATCCCGGTCCCACGTGTAGGGTAGCGAACCGGTTTTCCAGGACTTGATTGATTAATTTGTGGGGTTTAACGTGCCAAAACCACCATATGATTATGAGAGACGCCGTAGTGGAGGGCTCCGGAAATTTTGACCACCTGGGGTTCTTTAACGTGCACCCAAATCTGAGCACACGGGCCTACAACATTCCCGCCTCCATCGGAAATGCAGCCGCCGCAGCCGGGATTTGAACCCGCGACCTGCGGGTCGGTTTTCCAGGACTGGTTAACTGGTTAACCAACCTGCCTTTCTTTCTCTACCATTTCTTTTCTCCATTCACATGAAATAAAACGAATAATAGAAAAGCTAGCCAATGATAATTCGACCCTGCAGCTGCCCTCCTTTTCATGCTTTGGGCCAGCTTTTTTTTACATTTATTTACAAAGCTCTGCTGAAAATGAGAAAAAAAAACTTAATTTTGCGCACAGTATATCCGCAGTACCACATATCTAGGTCGTTGCTGACAGGAACATGAGCGTCCAAGTTCATAGAAAGCGAAGAAAAAAAAAGGTCTACAGAAACGGCGAACAAGAGGAATAAAGCTTAATGGAAGTGTCCATCGTCTAACGTATGTACAGAAAAGCCGGGGCGCGGCACCCGAGCTGGCAGAGATTGCCTTTCTCCGGGGCAGCTTCCACGGCTGGACGCGTCTGGGCGAGTGTCTGCCGCTGAACAATGAGCGGCCGTGAGTCTCGTGTTTCTCGTGTTTGCATGCCGAGCGGTGACACACACACAACACGAGTAACGGGAGCTGGTGCACGGGCCCACAGTGCGTCCCCTTTTGCGCTGCTCCTCGGAGCGAGCGGACCGATGGAAAGGACGACGCGAGACACACGATGCCCCCTTGCACCAGCGCACCAAGAAGCTGTCGCCAGCGAAGAAAACGAGGAAGCGAGTGGCGGGATGGGGACCTCCCCTCCCTAGAGTGGACCAGGAGGAGCGCGCGAAGTAAGCCGGACAGGGCATCGATTGGCTGTGGCCCAGGCTGCCCGTCGAGATGGCGCCGGCGCTAAGTAGGCGCAGCTCAAGTGGGGTCCCCTGGCCAGACCGGCCTCAGGTACGCGACAGCGTCCCACAGTAAAACACGACCCACCGCATCCTTCGAAGTGAGTCGCATACAATCATCTAAAGGAGTGAGCATTGCAACGTAGAACAACCACCCCGGGCCACGCAGGTGGCTCTGCCCATTCCGCGTAACTAACCTATTCTGTAAAGCTAGCTTTTTTCTCAATCATAGTGTAGTGCAGTGCAAACAACAGACACCAAATGAGCGAGAGAACGAGGGAATGAGCTGTGTCCTCGTTCTCTCGCTCGTTTGGTGGCTGTTTTTTTTTTTCGCTGCACTACACTATGGTTGTGTAGTCAATAAAGCAGTTCACTAGAAGCAAAGATGTGCATTCTGACAGACTGAAGGCTTTTCTTGCCTCCATTCTGAATTTTGTAACGGCACCCAACAATGCCCCCCCCCCCCCCCCACAGTCTTGTCCGATTATTTTAATATAAAGGAGGAAGGGTTGCTAGGAATTTTATTGTTGATGCCCGTTAAAGAACCTCAGGTTATTTCATTTCTTCACTTATTTTAACCCCAATCGCACAAAGCTTTACAAAGAGGATTGGGGTGCACAAAATAAATAACAAAAGCGAACGAGGTAATAATGATTAGAATACATGCGATGGTATAGAACAATTAGTAGCGACTAAAATACGTTCAAAGGTGCGATATAAGGCTGATACAACTGAATTCAGATGCAGCTGCGACGAGAAATGCAGATAAAACAAAATAAGGAAAATAAAACATTCAATATACGCTTGACGCGTCATTAATTTAAAATTATTGAGTGTGGTGGAACAAAATAAGCCATGATCTGAAGTGGAAACGATCTCATAGTGAAGGTGGTGGCAGGTTTTAGCCGTGCTGGGGGCAAAGCAAAAGTAAAAGAGTTAATTAGTTGGGAATCTGGTGACGGGTGCCTTTTGGTGATGGTGTAAATGAGCTAAACGATAGGAGGTGGAAGTTATTCCGGAGTATCCCCCTGCGGCGTATCTCATAACCACACAGTAGTTATGGCACGTAACATCTGAACAATTCTTCTTCTTCTTCTTCTTCTTCTTCTTCTTCTTCTTCTTCTTCTTCTTCTTCTTCTTCTTCTTCTTCTTCTTCTTCTTCTTCTTCTTCTCATTATTATTATTATTATTATTATTATTATTATTATTATTATTATTATTATTATTATTATCATTATTATTATTATTATTATTATCATCATCATCATCGTTGTTGTTGTTGTCGACGAAGGGCATGGATGGTCGTCGCCGAAGTGTTGCCTAGTACTTTTCTATTGTAGCTAAGGAAATCCAGAACTGTAGTATATTGCACAGTTGTAAAATTGACCGCGATGACGCACCTTATATCCGAAACACGCGAAATATGAGCAATCCGCGAGAGTTAGTTCTAAGTAAAGGTATAATAAAGGCTCTATATGTAAGCCTCGATGTTTTCGAATACTCTGCGCCTTCTTTTGACCAGATTTGAGCCCTCAATTTGACGGGTGTCATCGATTTACTGCCGGATGCAACCGAAGAGCTTATTTTCGATGAAAGCTGCAAGCTTCGCCGATGCCATTGTGTCGCAGCTTCCGAAGCCTGCAGCCCGAATTTGCAGGTGGGCCGAACCTGATGCTCACATGCGCTTGCCTGTATTGGAAAGAAAGAGACGCGCTTCTATTTGTTTGCCTCACTCGCCCTGCTCGCACCACTGGCGCCTTTTCAAAACGTTTAACCAGTGTTGTCGGCTTGCGCCGCCAATAAACCTCTCCTTAGCATATGTAACCGTCGTACGTTCAGCAGTGAGCGTGAGTTTAAGAAAGTGTAAAGGCGAGGATCACACAATGTGAGACATCAGGAGAAGTGAGCTGCTAGGTTGGTATACACACACACACACACACACACACACACACACACACACACACACACACACACACATATATATATATATATATATATATATATATATATATATATATATATATATATATATATATATATATATATATATATATATGTGTGTGTGTGTGTGTGTGTGTGTGTGTGTGTGTGTGTGTGTGTGTGTGTGTGTGTGTGTGTGTGTGTGCGCGCGCGTGTGTGTGTGTGTGTGTGTGTGTGTGTGTGTGTGTGTGTTACAACCACCAGAGTCCCCTCTGGTGGATTGTAAGAAACTCTGTGGCTTCCATTGCCTTCGGGTCTGCTTGCACCCACCGTTGCCTTTGCCGTTCCATAGTATTCTTTCGATGTACTTTTTAGGGGGTGTTCGGCTCACCACCATCACTTCTCTGCTGTATAAGGCTAACTCTTGCATTCTTGCTATTTACTTATTTTTTATTTATATTTGGTAAAAAATATGGGAAGGTATTTAGTTGAAGTTGTGTGTATTGCGATTGACCCAATCGTTTTGGCACATACCTTTTTTTGATTGTAGTAGTTTTCTGGTAAGCCCGCACAGTGACACGTACACTCGTAAAGATGTTTAAGTGATCGAATTACAAGGAACAGTTTGCTAAGCAGCTTCCCTGTTAAAACCAGCTTCCAATGCACGCTGCAATAGTGGTTGTCATGTGAAGTTGTAGTAA